TACACTTTTTAACACGTCCCCCAGGAGACAAGGGGTGTCTTTACTATACTTTTTAACACGTCCCCCAGGAGACAAGGGGTGTCTTTACACTACAATTTGTTGAATATTAAAAGTAAGTTCAATCCTGAAACCCCAAAGAGGGTGTTTTCGGGATGTATCTTTCCGATACAAGTTTTGGTTTGTTAATTGATAAATGATTAAGTGAAATACAGCATCCTCAAGTCTCCATACTAGCCAGTACTAAGGTCAACCCACTCGGAGTAAATTCAGTATATATCAATAAAGTCACATTCTCAGCATCATTAATTAAGCAATTGCCAACTTTTTATGCTTCTGTTATCACCTTTTTATGTCTAGCTTTCAATTGAGATACGAACGATTTCACCTGCGATTCGGTAGGAAGGTCGAAGCATCACGATAGTCAGCAGTAGGATGAGCAGACAGGCATACTTTGAAAGCAGTTACAGGCATAATATTGTACTCGGCTTGCTGCACAATATTCTATCGAGACGGTTTTAAACGGTTCCTGAATACCTCTGTCATTTAGAGACTTCCATGCTTCTCGTGCTTGGCCGTTAAGCTCGTGATGCGCTGACGGATTTCAGTCACCTTACCACTTCAAACCACTTTTCGCAGCTCCAATACTAAAGGAGTGCAGGAAATGCCTTTTTTTTAGCCAATGAATGTGTGCAAAAAATTTCAGTTCAAACTAAGAAAAGCTAGATTGGGTAGTTTTGTTTTGTCCCCCACTGGCTCGTAAGGAGCCTGTTAGAAAGTCGAACTAAATGAAGCTATTTTTGTGGATATTATGAAGAGGGATAAGAGATAATTCTAAAGATTCTTTGTAAAAGACTGCAAGTTTCATGTTTTGACGTGAATTACTGTATTCTATAAGAATGTTTCGAAAAGGGCATGACGTCTTGTCACGTGTGCCTTTTGTTTGTTTCTTTGTATTTAAGCACAAAGCTACTCAATGTGCTATCTGTAATGTGCACACCACGGGGATCAAAACCATATTTTTAGCGTTATAAGTCCGTAGACTTACCACTGTGTCACTGAGGTTTGTCACGTGTGTAACAAAGTATTCGGGGGGTGAGTCTATCTGGCCCATTGTAACTACATACAGAATTAGTTTTTCTGCTGTTTAATGCCGAATAACCATTATAAGAATACTTTAAGGATTTTTTAAATTAAATACTCTAAAAAGGTCTGAAGACAACATGCATGACCCATCCTAAAATATTTATAAAATGTTGAAAAAAGTACTTTTTATGTCAAAAAAAAGAGAGAGAGAATGTGTGTATTGTATCACGACCAGGGGCGGATTGGCATTAAAGGACCAGCCCGTACAATATCACATGCTGCATAATGGCTGAACAATTAAAATCTAAAATCAATTTCTAAGAATGCATCAAATATACCGGCCAATTGATCCCAGTATACCAGCTCATTGGCCAATTGATCCCAGTATACCGGCTCACCGGCCAATTGATCCCAGTATACCAGCTCACTGGCCAATTGATCCCAGTATACCGGCTCACCAGCCAATTGATCCCAGTATACCGGCTCACCAGCCAATTGATCCCAGTATACCAGCTCACTGGCCAATTGATCCCAGTATACTGGCTCACCAGCCAATTGATCCCAGTATACCAGCTCACCAGCCAATTGATCCCAGTATACCAGCTCACCGGGATCAATTGGCTGGTGAGCCAGTATACTGGGATCAATTGGCCGGTGAGCCGGTATACTGGGATCAATTGGCCGGTGAGCCGGTATACTGGGATCAATTGGCCGGTGAGCTGGTATACTGGGATCAATTGGCTAATCCGCAACTGATCACGACCGCTTTCTTCTTTTTAAAATGAATATTTTTCTGACAGTACTCTATACCAAGGGACTTGATTAATATTTTAGAACGGTTTTAATAAATCGTACTGTACTTAAAAACTGGTTTGTTTACTGTACTTAAAAACAGGTTTGTTTACTGTACTTAAAAACTGGTTTGTTTACTGTACTTAAAAACTGGTTTGTTTTGTTATTTCTTACAGTGTAGACGAAAGTATGATTTGTGCATGGAGTCTGGATCAACGGTGAGTTGGTTACTATTTAATTATCATGTTGTGATGAACTGTGCATGGAGTCTGGATCAACGGTGAGTTGGTTACTATTTAATTATCATGTTGTGATGAACTAATCTCGGTAACTTGTCTGATTCGTGTTGGATTTCCATCTAGTGTGATTTGATTGAAACAAATTTTCATTTGTTCGAAGTATATGTCCGATTTTTAGTATTGAATTTTATCTTTTTCTTTCATCGTTTTTTTTTTCAGAACCCAGGAAAACTCCGTTGTCAAAAATCGTACTTTTTGGTAAGTTAAAATACAGCACTGTGCACATAAAAACTCGCACAGCACTGTATACATTGAAACTCTTACAGCACTGTACAAATTAAAACTCGTACAGCACTGTGCACATTAAAACTCGCACAACACTGAACACATTAAAATCGCACAGCACTGTGCACATTAAAACTCGCACAGCACTGTACACATTAAAACTCGCACAGCACTGTACACATTAAAACTTGCACAACACTGAACACATTAAAACTCGCACAGCACTGTACACATTAAAACTTGCACAACACTGAAAACATTAAAACTCGTCCAGCACTGTACACATTAAAACTTGCTCAACACTGTAAACATTAAAACTCGCACAGCACTGTACACATTAAAACTTGCACAACACTGAACACATTAAAAATCGCACAGCACTGTACTCATTAAAACTTGCACAACACTGAACACATTAAAACTCGCACAGCACTGTACTCATTAAAACTTGCTCAACACTGTAAACATTAAAACTCGTCCAGCACTGTACACATTAAAACTCATCCAGCACTGTGCACAACTTGCATACATTACTGTGCATATTAAATCAAAACTGCACCGTGCACATTAAAAATCGTGCAGCGCTGTATACAGCTTGCATATATTACTGTGCATATTAAATTAAAACTCGCACAGCACTGTGCACATTAAAACTCGTACACATCGCTGTGCATATTAATTAAAACTCGCGCAGCACTGTGCAGATTAAAACTCGTATATATCATTGTGCACATTAAAACATTGAACAAAAATACACGTAACAAGAACGAAAAAAAGCTAACTATTAACATGTTTAAAGTTTTTATTGTTCTTTTAGAAGTTATTTTTCATAGAAATGTTTATTTACGTGCTAAACTGAAAATACTGTTTGTGTAAGGAGTAGCTTTTGAAGTCTCATACATAGATAGACAATCTGCTTATAATGTTTTCTTTCTTTTCAGTGTTTACTGGATGATGATGAGGACATCTACAATGAACTTTGAGCACATTTCTAAAACAGTGTTAATATTAAATTAAAAACGTTACTAGACTGCTAAAACAGTGTTAATCTTAAACTAAAAAACGTTACTAGACTGCTAAAACAGTGTTAATCTTAAACTAAAAACGTTACTAGACTGCTAAAACAGTGTTAATCTTTCGTTTAATAATGGTTTAAGTCAACGGGTAGTAACTCACTTAGAAAACAAAATAATTTGGTTTCATTACTACTTGAAGAGAGGTAAACAAATTGAGAATTAAAAATCTTTAATGTTAAAAAAACCAGTGGTTCAGTCTAGTAACGTTTTTAGTTAAGATTAACACTGTTTTAGCAGTCTAGTAACGTTTTTAGTTAAGATTAACACTGTTTTAGCAGTCTAGTAACGTTTTTAGTTAAAGATTAACACTGTTTTAGCAGTCTAGTAACGTTTTTAGTTAAAGATTAACACTGTTTTAGCAGTCTAGTAACGTTTTTAGTTTAATGATTAACACTGTTTTAGCAGTCTAGTAACGTTTTTAGTTAAATATTAACACTGTTTTAGCAGTCTAGTAACGTTTTTAGTTAATATTAACACTGTTTTAGCAGCCTAGATCAGTATGCTTCCCGTTATTTTAGTTAGCGCTCACGTAAGAATGGCTTGTTCGATTTTTTTAAAACGAAATAATGAGTAAATATATGTCATACGAACAGTAATTATAAAACACGGAAAGCCTGTATTAACGAGCATAACCGTAGTCTTGTATCATTTCTTCACACGTTTGACTAACCGAAACCTTCCATGGCCATGAGCTTTAGAATACCAGCTGTAATATTTTTATATTACCTCACATAATACGTCAACTGCTAGCGAATCTTCTAGCTACTCACAACAACACTCGACGGCACGTGAAACAAATGTTCATAATAATTATAGCCTGGCGTAGCCAGGTGGTTAGGGAGCTGGACTCGCAATCTGAGGAAGGCGGGTTCGAATCCCCGTCCCATCAAATAAGCTTGCCTCTTCGGCCGTGGGGGCGTTATAATGTGACGGTCAATCTCACTATTCGTTGGTAAAAGAATAGCCCAAGGGGTGGAGGTGGGTAGTGATGACTAGCTGCTAAATTAGGGACGGCTAGCGTAGGTAGCCCTCGTGTAGCTTCGTGAGAAATTCAAAACAAAACAAATAAACCACAATAATTATATTTACTACAACATAAAAAACAATTCTGTAGATGAAACGTTTCGCGCATAATGTTCTTTACAACGAGTCTGCTCAAAAATTGTGTTAACGGTTT